GAAGAAGAAGAAGAAGAAGAAGAAGAAGAAGAAGAAGAAGAAGAAGAAGAAGAAGAAGAAGAAGAAGAAGAAGAAGAAGAAGAAGAAGAAGACTCTTTACACTTTAGCCATTGTACCATTATTTTACTGTCTATTTGCATTTTCGAAATCACGCTTTCTTAAATAATTCCGTATGTTTACTCTCTATACACATATATTTTTAAAAATACAATTCGAATAGTTTCTTCCTTCATAATTGTACCTGTTTTGGAGTTGTTGTTTTGTGTGTACTGTTCTAATATTTGCTTTGAATCGTGATAAGATGTTAGTGATTCAACTTTCCTTAAAAGAACAAGCCAAAATATGACCTAAAAATTCGTTGTTATGCATACGTTAATTTTGTTATTAATGTCATGCCCGCTGCTCCTACTTCGCACCAGTCTACTCTGCCTGGGTTGAGCTGGCTCAAGTTACATGACTATAATGCTGAAGTTCCCCGAGGAACGAGAAAAGAATGAACATATGAACCTACCATGATCTATAGAAATCGAACCCCAAGCTACTGTGCTCTGGTCAGTTTCATAAGTAACGTAAGCCCAGCAATAGCACATACTGTCAGAACAAAATGTGACGTGTGCTGACAAAATGAGTCACTTCTCGGATTTCACCTTCATGGAAATTGATACATCAACTTGTTAGGTGAAGTTTGTACAATTTGTGAGCATGGAATAGTAAAAGACAGAGTAAACTTGAACAAAATGGCATCAATTGAAAATCTATAAATCTGACCGCAGTGTTGATTTTCAGCCGATATCTCCTTTCTGGGATCGTGAGAAGTAACTCATTTTGTCAGGACATCTCACAAATACATTGTTTCTTTTTGCTTTGTTTGTCTGTTTGGTGGGTTTTTGTTGTTGGGTTGTTGTTGTTTTTTTGTATGTGTCCGGGGCGAGGAGGGGGGGGGGTTATGTCAAGTTAACTACAATACTACTATCTAGTTGATCCACGTAACAGAATGAATCTGTAGGTCGCCGGTCGATTATACTCATTTTAAACCACCCTGCAATCCCCCCCCCCAACCTTTAAAAAAAATATTTTTTTAAAGAAAAAAAAAATGAAATGCACAAAATGGAATAAAATAAATGGTTGTGGTCGGAGGCTGAGAATGTTTCTAAGTGTTCTGTGGTCTGTGGGGGTGAAAATATAAATGGTTAAGTGCTTAGATCTTGATGTGGAGAGGGAATATGCGCTGTACAAACACTATTTGTTATCTTTATGTTCATATGAATAATAAATAAATAAATGAATAAATAAATAAATAAAAGAATAAATAAAAATACGTAAATAAATGAATAGATATAAAATCAAATAATTATGAGACATTAGATCAGATGAGACAGATAAATAGAAAGATTAAATAAGATTTCAGAATTAGAAAAATGTAACTATCTTTTAGTGTTTCATTGTCCAAGATTTCAATCTCCATTCAAAGTTAAAAAATAGCCGGATGATGATGATGATGATGATGATGATGATGATGATGATGATGATGATGATGA